AATTTCCAAATATAAAAAGTGCATGGCAATGTGAATTTGTCTGCATCAGGAACATCAGAGTCATTTAATGCTTAAAATGTGTGGTCATTTTAATCAAAATTGGATGCCTGTAGATTAGTAACATGAATAATTAAATGATCTTTCCCAAGCAATCTTTGCAATTCCAGTGAGTTTGTGTATGATTATTAGTCCTAATTGCAAGGTGTTCAGCAGTTGGGAAGGTTTAGGTGCCTAACTTCATCCAGCAGGGCAGCTTTCCTTGGATATACTGGTTGGGTGTTTTCATATGCCAAGAAAAAACTGTTTTGAAGATCTGCAAGTTTTAGGAAAACACAATTGTCCACTTCAATTTGAAAAATACAGTATTGGGAGAGACAGAAGCAACACAGTGCAGTCTAAGCATTAGACATGATGGGATTACATGTGAAATGTATATGGAGTAAATGTATCTGTAAGCAGAAAAAAAAAAGAAAATATTGTGGAGTATTTGATGCTCAAGAAATTATTTGCTTCTTCATAATGTTAAAAAGATTTTCTTAATAGTTATGTGGCAGACTGTACTCACAAGTCTTTGGCATCCAAACTAGATTGTATATCAGATGGATCCCACAACTGGATGTGTGCACTGACCTCTTTATTTGTAGCTTTTTAAAAAGAAATTTGGCAGCAGCCTTTAATAAATGCATGAAGCAACCTGAGAGGAAGAAGCAGTCTCGTTCACATCACAGCTGCTGCACAGCTCACAACTGGTGCCGTGCATCTGCAGCCTCTTGTAAGTGAAGATCAACATGGTCAAAACTAATCAGTTTTAGTTTTTCTTAATTTTAAGGAATTCCTATTCCCCTTTTAGCCTCTGCTTGCTGTGTAAGCAGCTTCCATTCCATGCTAAAAGGGTCTTTCCTTAAGTCAGCTTAGCAACCATTGTGTAGCTTGGCTGTTGTTCCTTATTTTTTCTAGCTGGTAGTGTTGTATTAAGCTCTTCACCCTCCATCCCTGTATTTGTTGCTATGGGGAGGAAGAGGTGAAGCAAGACATGTGTGAGAGGAGGGAGGAAGAATTGTGGGATCTATATGACAGCTCCCACTTCTTTGAAATCATCTACTTCCAGTTGTGGGATTTCTCGATATATGATTTTTTTTGGTGTTTTTTGTAAGTCTAATTTTCTTTGATCTTGTTAGCTCCTTACAAGTCTCCCCGAGACATTCTGCAGTCATTATCACCTTTTTGGGTGGAGTTTATTTTATTTTTTGGGTTGTTTGTTTTGTTTTTTTAAAATAACTTTTTAACATTGGTACATATATGCTTGGGATAGAGCTCATGTAATTATCCAATCGTATTGATTGTATGTGATTGTGCCCTGCAGAGGTATATTTAACAAAAAATAAAATAAAGGATAGTCTAGGTAATAAAGGAGACCATGAGATTTGTTGAGTCAGATTATGAACTATTTCTTAAATTTATTAGGATCCTAGATAAGCAAAATTCCATCTGCTGTTTTATGAATCAGTGCTAAACAAAATATCATTCATTCTCCTTGTGTTTTTTCTTGCTTGTCTTCTCCTTTATTTTTTTCTTCCTTTCCTGTTTCTCTTTTCCATAAACAAAATTTCAATCCTTCATGGGAGTGGTTGACTCTGGGTTGATTTTGTGGATATTTATTGTTTGTAACTACCAAAATATTCGCAATTGGAGTAGAGATGAAGTAGAATGTATGAGAAGAATTCCATAAATTGAATTCTTTGGAAGTTTAGGGGAATTATGAAGTTTTGTACATACAAGCCTGGTCATGGGGGAAGATGTTCAGTGGTACATGCGGAATTGCTATCTTTTCCAGGAAAGGTTGGATGCTTTTCTACCTTTTGGGAAAACAAAACAAAAAGATAACAAAAGGAGTAGAAGAAAGTTCTCTATATCCAACTGCCTGTGTTATATCCAACTCCTACAATATACTTTTTAGACTTGAAATAAAAACATTCTAGATACTCTGCTGAAGTGGGACAGAATGCATTGAAGGAGGCAAAAGGTAAGAGAATCCAGAGATTTGAAAATCAGTATTGGTCTCCTTTATTTAATTCTCAGACCTATGGAGCCAACAGTATTACTCTGCGTGAAAGAACAAGGGAGTGGAGACCTACTGTACATACATAGCAGTTATATAGAAAAAGCCATATGATGAAATGCTATTTCTTCCCTCTTCACTGTGCTTTTTTCCCTATTAAAGCTGACTCAACCTCACGTTGCTCTCACAGAATGTCTGAGAGTCCTTTAAGTAGCAGATTGAACAAAAAAAAGAGTGGAAAAGTGATTCACTCTTTGGTTTGTAGATAGATGGAAGGGTCTGCAAGGTCTTACCTGCTTTTCTGTCAGCATTTATATTAAGTGATAATGAAGAATGCTTTGAAATATCCCTTGTTTTCTGTCTGTGATGAATGTACATTCCTCTAAATTTTGTGTGAGGTGTATGACTGTCAGACCATCTGAATAAGATTTTCACCAGCTCAAAGTGTGTGTGTTCTCTGCTGGGCTGGAGCATAAGAGATGCCAAATGGCAGAGAAGCCACAGGTCTTCTGGGTTTGGCCTGCCCTCTTTTGACTTCATCTGTAAACTAAATGGCTCCTTCACTTTATCACCAGAGGTGATAAGAAAAGATACTCAAAATAATCTGTTTTGTTAATTGCTTAGAAGCAAACCAGACCCTTCAGAGCAAGGAGTGAGCAGCATTTGTCTAATGTTGAGCCTGATTTGGAACTTGCCTTAAAGTGAGAATAAGTTTTGCTCCACAGTCTACTTTACAATGTTTAGTTTTCTCCTTTCACACCTCTTTGTGGTCATTAACAAGTTATTGTGTGTAAATTTGTAATTTTGTAAACTAGATGAAGCTGCTGCTTCATTGAAAAACTGTTCCTTCTCCTACTCCAGGGCAAGCACAGCCTTCTGCCCCTCAAGTGCATAATGTTCATTATTATTGTCTTCATTATTTTGAGCCTGGGCACTATGGATCAAGGTAAGGTGTGTTTTGCTGGGCTGAATCCCATCACTGCTCATTATTAGGTCCCCTCACACTTACACACTTACTTGCTGGATGGATGACTTGAAACATTCAGTTCCTATAAAGGAATTGTATTTAGAGGGAAATCCAGCAGAAAACTAAGTTTCAGTTGATGATGATTTCCTTACCCTTTCTCCCACTAATCTGAGGATTCAGGATCCTCATGCAGTGACTCACTTCAGAAGGAAAAACAGAGAGCTGAATTCCTACAGTGGTTGGCTGTTAAAAGGAAGATCTGAAGCACTGTGGAGAGTCAGATCCCTGTGGAATGAAGTGGTGGGTGGTCTGCATCAAGAGAGATTGGGGGAAACTTGCTGGGTTTCTTTATGTGGAAAAGAGGGGAGACCAAGCTCAAGTGGATGGTACCTGCTGGAATTTTTTTCCCTTTGGATATGGATGGCAGGATAGAAAGAATCTTGAAAAGGCTAGCTCATGAGATTCCTTGATCCCATCTTGCTCTGAGTGCAAGAGTCATTTTCCTGTGCATAGCCATGAAACTAAACAGTGAACACCCAAAGCACAAAACAAAATTAAGGCAATTTATGTTCCTCCTTGCCAATCAAGTATGTTTGAGAACTGCTTCTTTACAGCTAGGATGTGTTCAGTTGTTTCTGTAACCTCTTTCTTCCTAACTGTGAACTCCAACTCCCTATCTCCAGGACAGAAAGTGTGGGAGAAAACCAAAATGTGATGCTTCATCTGTCTTACCACAGGCTTTGGTGCTGGATGGTTTTGAGCCTCTGATCTTTGCTTTGGGTCTGAGAGCAGCAACTTTGTGAGTAAAACAGACTGTATTAGAGCAAATGAGGCATCTAACAGCTTGTATTAAGACACTGGCAATCTTGGGTGCTTCCTTAGGAATAGCTGTGCTCTATTAAGACACTGGCCATATTGGGTGCTTGCTTAGGGATGGCTGCTCAGATGCAAGTGCTGGGTTGTTGCTTGGAGCTGAATAAGCCATAAATTACCATTTACATGCTACTTTCAAAAGACAGATTTACTCAGCTATCCTAGATGAAAATACCTTGGGAACTCTGGGATGTGCATAGTTGTTTGCTTTTGGTTTTACTGCTTTAAACTATCTTTGAGCACCGGGTAAATGGGAACCTGTGGTTGGGATGTCTGCCTGGGTGTGGAGCATCCCTAATCACTCTGAAAACCCTGGGACCTGTGAGCATGTCAGTTACCTCAAAAAATTAAGCCAGCAACCACCTGAAATAACAAGGTACGGTATGCGAGTTCTTCCTTTCTCATGGAGGACATTTTTTACATTACCCTTCAGTTTATCTCCACAATCTCTGCCCCATTTAACTGTGTCCCATACTGATACAATCATTTTGCAATTAAATTTCCATTAAGTGAAAATGTTCCTCTTACTGGAGGCCAGAAACAGCACCTGCTGAGCCAGCCTGCTTTTGGGATTTGAAATTCAGGGAGCAATGCTGCAGAATTTGTAGAGCATCCTGGATCAGAAATGGCATTCAGTACTGCTCACTGACTTGTGAATCAGGACAGGAACTGGGGGAGCTGCTTTAATCCTCAGCTTTCCAGCAGTCCCACCCTGTGTCTGAAAGTGTTGTCCACACACTCTTGGAGCTCTGTCAGTCTTGGGGCTGTAACCATTCCCTGTGGATGCTGTTCCAGGTGTGTTTAAGATGGGATGCATTTGAAACTGCAGAATGTAAAGTGGGGCAATTTCTCCCAACTTGTGTCTGTTCAGGAAATGGGGAAAGAGGTGACAGGGCTGTCCCAGGCAGATGGGGAAAACATTTTGCTTAGCTACAGGATCCTAAAATTAGATCTACAAATACCTTATATAATTTTTATTCAAACTCTTGAAGGGTTTGAGGTTTGTCTCATGGGATAAGCGGTTCATTTTCTGTTGGCAAAAACTGAGGGCATGTGGCACGTGTGTGGGGTAGGTGGTCAAACTCTCCCTTGTCAGATTGAACTTTAAAACCTCTTTCAAACTAAACATTGCCTCTTTTTTCCCTATTCTTTGCTTAACCTTCAGCAGCTGGTCATCAGCCTTTGGCCTTAGCATCCTACTCCCCTCCCACCACCCCCTGCTCCTGTCTCAGCTCTGTTTGAGCAGAGAAATCCAGTGGGGAAGCTGCTTTGGGCTCAAGCAAGACTGTTCTCTCAAAAATTTGCTTTTACCTCCTAAAAGCAGAAAGCTGGAGGTACAGGGGCAGGTAAGAGAAAGAGATGCCATTCATTTTCATTGTTAATTAATTCCTTGAAACAGCTTCTTTTCCCTTAGTAGGAGCTCATGAATTTTAGCTGCTGCCAGAGTGGCTTTTTGCTCAATTAGAGAGGGTCTTCCCACCCTAGCTTTCATGAAGGCTGGCTTTCTAAATTGTCAGGCTTGACTTTTATTGCCAGCCTGCACCAATCATGGTGTGGAGGGCAGTTAACGAAGTCAGGATGCCCTGAGTAATTGCTGGCTGTGAAAGAGCACTGCTGGTTTGCTTTGGACTCTGGTTTTGGGGTGTGAGGTAGTGGGGAAGGTTTCTCAAGAGCCTAAATTAATCTCAAAATGGTTTGAGCTATTTTACATTAGCTGGGCTGTGTAGCACAGTGTGTGGGTGCTGTGGCACATTCTCACCACTACCAGTAACCCCAGTAGGTTCAGTAAGGTGAGTGCTAGGGTTCTGCAAGCCCAGTTAATCATTCTGTCCTACAGCAATGGAACAGTAGGATGGAAATGGAGTGTGCTGGTAATAGCCCAGCCATGTTGCACAGCAGCCGAGGGATCGGGGGGTTTCTTGATGTTTCCTCAGAGCCTTCTGATTTTGAGCTGAATCAGCAACTTGGTTTCTTGGCTTTCTGCACTTTTTGTTGCTTCACCCTGGGTAGAACCTTTTCTAATTTCTACATTCCCCCTTGCCAGTAAACCCTTTCAGGAAGTGCTGTTGTGAGAATACTTTTGTTATCCTTCCAGGTTGACACTTGGACTGCGTGTCAGTGCTGCAGAGGAAAAAGGGAGTGTTGAAGAGCTGTGTGGGAAGGAGGAGTGGGTTTTGACCAAATGCTATGACAAAGAGCTGGTCTAAGAAGCAGCAGGGACTCTTGCCTGTAAAAGACAAGATTGGATGTGTCAGAAGCTCTGAATTTATGGAGCAGGGACTTCACTGCAGAGTAAAAACAGGGAGCCTTTCTTATTTAATGAGGACAAGGTGAGGATGGAGGTGCCCTCCCCGTTCTTGTGCTTTGGCCTTTAAATATGAGATTAGATTAGCAGCACTTTGTGTGATGGTAAACACCACAAGCTTCTTCTGGCTTGACAGAAGCAGGTGTTTGTCTGTTTACAGACAGGGTCAGGACATGCCTTTCCCTGGAGGTGAGTGGAGTAACAGGGCAGGGACCATGATGAGGTTGTCCTTTCCATGGTGGAACTGGCCACTTGCGCGTTGGTGCTGCTGGAGCTGCAGGACCAAGTGTGGGTGACGGAGGACTGCTGCAGGCAGTGAAGGGCTCTGCTCCTGGCCCCAGGATTGCAGAACTCTGGAGTGTGTCTGGCTTGTTGCTGGCTGACTTTTCCTGTGGGATTGAAAGGTCTGAAAGAACAGCACTTCCTGGTGTATTTTCAAGTGTCTTAATATATTTTCTTTCTCTTGCCCTGGGTGTTAATTTTTGCTTTTGTAATTAGTTAACTTCCCTTCCTTTTTAGATTTTTTTTTTACCCTTTGTAGTGTTGCATCTGTGCTAAACCTTTTGCAAGATAATCTATGTGTCATTACCAGTGAGAGCTGTGGCCATTGCCTGAGTGAGCCCCTCTTGTTTTGCTGTGCTATCACACAGCCTTGGGGCTCCAGACAGTCTTAGTGCCAGATGAGGTAGTTTCTGCTTTTGCAGAGAACTGGAGCACAAATGAAGTCATTGGCCAAGAGCCCAGGGGAGAGGGTTGTGGAAGGTCAGAGGTCGCCTTCATCCCAGATCAGCCTTTGAGCTGCTCCTGTTTTCCTCCAGCAGGTGCTGGCCCACCAGCACTGGAAGATCACAGATATGAGGGTCACCAGTGCTAAATGCAGGTGACTTTTAATTTAGTTTCTCAGAAGGCAATGCTTGGTAGCCGTGGCAGTATGTGGAGGCAGGCAGAGACTTACCCAACTTAAGACACAAGTTTGAAAAAGTGCCCAGTAGCTGGCAAGACCTGGGCAGGCTGCCAGCCCCTCCCAGTTTTCCAAACTGTTGTGGCTGTGGTGCTTGAGCTTCTTCCCATGAGGTACATAAATCAGTCATGCAAAGGGCATCTTAGGACCACAGCGTGCAGGACATGCTCTGTCAGCCCTGGGATGGCTCATGAGACCTTGCTGCCAGAGCTGGTAGGTAATGAGATTTAGGAGGAAATTGTTCCCTGTGAGGGTGGTGAGGTCCTGGCACAGGTTGCCCAGAGAAGCTGTGGCTGCCCCATCTCTGGAAGTGTCTAAGGCCAGGTCAGACAGGGTTTGGAAAAATCTGGTCTAGCAAAGATATCCCTTCCTATGGCAGGGAGTGTAACCAGATGATATTTAAGGTTCCTTTTAACTGAAACCATTCTGAGGTTCATTGTGCTTTAGCAAAGTGGAAAATAAAAATTATCTCTCTCTTGCTGGGAGATTTTCAGAGACCAGCTTTTGCTGGAACACGGTAATTACCATTAGCCTGCTGCACTCTTTAGGTACCAAGGACAACCAGTTTGCATTGAGGTGGTATGAACTTTGGACAGGAATTGATGTGATGAACCAGCTACACCATACATGCTTATAAAGTACATTTTTGGGGGATTAGAGATGCTCAGTCCATGGAGGGACCAACTTCCTTGGAGACCTTTTCCTTATCACCTTTCTCCTCTGCCATAGTATCTCCTACATCAATAACTGAAAAGTACTGTAAAGCTGAGGTGACCCTGGCAGGTTCCTTACACTGTAGCCACCTCACCTGCCAATGGGGAGGACTCAAAAGTTCAAATCATCCATTTTGGTACAAACTTGTCAGGGCTGAGCCTGCTTCTTAAAAAAGAGAGGCCCAGGTCACTGGGAAAACACTAGTTTCAGTGTATTGCTTCTAAAAGTATTGTGTGCTCACAGGCAAGCTTATCCTGTTATCTGTCTGTCCTTATTTATCCTACAAGTCCAGGGCAAAAGATGATTGAGAAGACTGTGGGGCTCCTATCACTGTGATGTTGGCTGGAACAGGCCGGTGGGCTTTGGCAAGCAGCACGGGTTTCACAGACAGGCAGCATGTCTAAGCTCTCTCTCTCTGGTTCCAGGACAATGTGTCTCTTTGTGGTGTGTCTGCTCAGTGTATTGGGGCTGACTGCTCCTGAGCACTACACTGTGGAAGACATCTGCACTGCAAAGCCACGTGACATCCCAGTGAACCCTATCTGCATCTATCGCAACCCTGAAAAGAACCCCCAGGAGGGTGAGGGGCAAGAGTCAGCAAAGGACAAGATCCCAGAGTCCACCAACCCCCGGGTCTGGGAGCTGTCAAAAGCCAACTCTCGGTTTGCTGTCATCTTCTACAAGTACCTGGCTGACTCCAAGGACAATGGGGAAAACATCTTCATGTCACCCCTCAGCATTTCCACAGCTTTCGCCATGACCAAGCTTGGAGCCTGTGGTAGCACCCTCCAGCAGCTCATGGAGGTTGGTGGAGATTCCTCAGCCTTTTCCTGTAGCAAATCTGAAAGACAGGAAAGGTGATCATGGCTAATGGCTACTCTCAGGGTCAGGATGGCTTCTTGCCTTGAGAAGGAAATCCCAAGTTGGAAGAACCTTAAAATTTATCTCGTTCCACCCTCTGCCATGGGCAGGGACACCTTCCACTAGACCAGGTTGCTCCAAGCCCCGTCTCTGGATTTGTTTAGATTCCAGCTCTTTCCCCTTAGTCCCTATTTGGATCCAGCATTCCTGGGTTTGAGAGATTAGTTTTCATCTGGAGGAAAGGAAGCCCATTTGGAAGGCGAGGGAAAGGAATGGCAACAGTTTTCTCCTTGCAGGTTGAGCTAGGCTTTTCCTTATGTAAAAAGCAGGAAAAGCCATGATATCAAGTCCCATTGGCAGAGGGACATTCCTTCTCTCTCTTCCTTGGGACAAAAATCGGACACACGGGAGATCCTGCAGTTCATCTGACTTCCAGGGCAGGGGAGCCAGTACATGAGGAGCCTCTCCCTCCACCTGTTGGCCCTATACTCAGGGAATAGTTCTGATCCCAGACTAAGAGGTAATTCTGAGTTCTGGCTCTTCCATGTGACTAATTTAACTCCCTGCCTGTCCCAGCACTCAATGTCAGACTCACCTGACAACTTAACTGCTGTGTGGGGTTTGATGCTGCCTATACCTTTTTCTCCAATGGGAGACCTCAGCCCAAGGAGCCTTTTTCCCTGCAATGAGGAGGTGTAAATCAAACTGCTCTGCTTGTCCCCTCTGTTGCTGTCATTACAGATCCTACCTCTGGAACAAATGATGTTGGGGTTCTCCACACAGCCCAAATAGAGCAGCTATAACCACATCTCCAAAATCTTTACTTGTGTGTCCCCCTCTGGGCAGCCCTTCCCACTGGAAGGGGAGCCTTCTCCCATGGTGTGAGAGCCACCCACACCTGCACTCCTAATCTCCATTTTTCCTATGAAATGGCTGCTAACACCAGCTTTGCCTTACAGGAAACAGTGCCAAAGATCTTGGAGGTTCATAAAGAGCAATGTGCTGTAGGATTTTCTGTGCCTCAAATCTCTGAAGTTGGATAGTAGTAGACAAATAATAATTGTCCTTCCAGCTGGCAGCTGGGAACAGATAAAAAATTCCCTGGGCTGCAAAAATGATAGCTACATATTCCCATTCCCTGTAAAAATGTACCAGAAGTACCCAACAGGCCATGAAAATTCCTCCTGGGAAGGAGTAGCCTTTAGCATTGTCACAGGAGGGCTTAGCACATGTGAGTCCTCCCATGACCTGGTATGACCCAAGATTTAGGCCCTGTTGGTGCAATGCTCATCTTGGGGTATGGTAGGGGGTTATGAACACTGTGTTAATTTTAACAGCATTTAAAGGGGAAGCTGCGGACCAGTCAAAGGCGGGGTATAGAGAGCAAGAAAACGTGTTGGAAAGAGGAGCGGCATCTCCACATCTAAGTAGAGTTTAATCCTCCATTTGGACTCTCCAAAGGAGGCCTTGGGCTAGTGATGTGTTGATTTTCTATAGATTTGGGCTCCCACACATGGAGGGTGAAGCTCTGAGGGCCTGCAAATTTGTTGCTGTTGAGGCAAAGGCTGCACTACCATTTCCTCTCTGGCCCAGGAGCACAAGAACCTTCTCACAGATTCCTTGTTGGTGTTTGGCTTGTCCAGGTCTTTCAATTTGACACCATTTCAGAGAAAACATCAGATCAGATCCATTTCTTCTTTGCCAAGCTGAACTGTCGCCTTTACAAGAAAGCAAACAAATCCTCAGATTTGGTATCAGCCAACCGTCTCTTCGGGGAGAAATCTTTAAGCTTTAATGAGACTTACCAGAACATCAGTGAAATCGTTTATGGAGCAAAACTCTGGCCCTTGAACTTCAAAGTGAGTTAGAACTACTCAGGATTTTGCTTTTTCGTTTGGTTCCACCCCCCC